AAACGATCATCCCACTACTTATGACTCAGCTCCTCCTAGTGAGCCCATCAGGATCAGTAACCAGACTATCAGATATTTCATCCCGACGTCGTCGAAGTAACAGGATTTACGATGATTATGAATACACGAATAAGACCAGATTTATTCGAGTCACACATTACTTTATATCTTTTATATAATGCCTTTGTGGATGGACTAAGTGATCTAATGCGTATGAAGATGGAAGGAATAAGAGAATGGGGAAAATGACAATCGAATCTCTACGGATACTTTATGAAAAGAAGATATTTATCGTAGCGGTTACCCAAAGGAGTAGAGTAATGAATACCAGAGCTATGGTCAAGAGAGGCCACCGTTTCTTGCCGATGTCATCATCCTTCTGAAGTGCAGCATAAACCAAACCTGGGAATCCACACACCAATGGGGCAGCCAAATAAGAGGACATGGAGCCAATAAACGAGGCGACATTGGGGACCTGATGTAAACTATATCAATCGAACAAGGGACAAGCAGCCTACCTACCAGTAGGGCAATAGCGGTGCACACTGTGATAGAGAAGAACGGTGCTCCGTATTGCATCAGTAGTGACTGGACACCGACAACCGACTCGATCCACCGACAGAAGACGAAGAAGGGATTTCTCACAGGAACATCACCAACCTACCAAACACCTCGGGGTTATAATAAGCTCACTCTCACTCACCGATCCTTCCCCCGCGCCTAGCTCGAGAGCCTTGTAAAAACCGGCCAGTCCGGGTAGGAGATTCATCGGGGCAGCAACAAGTAGCATGATAGTCAGGCCTATACGACAGACGAATATAATACGATCATCAGCCGCATAATTTTGCATGAAATTAGGCTTAGTATCAGTAAGGAAAGACAGGTACCTTATCAAATGAACCATACAACTAGTACGTTGATACACGTGGACTTACACTGCAATAGCCATAGAGAGGTAAATAGAAGAGAGCGCGACACCAGCTACTACATTAGCGATGGTACGCCTAACAGTAGTCGGACGAGACCTGAACAAGGAGCAACATTAACTACAATGATGATTGCTAAGAGTATGTCACATCTCTGCTGCCACTCTAACTGCCGGGATCTGGTTCATCAAACCAAACATGCACACAGCAAACGTATTGAATGTGCTCATATTCACATGACTTTCTGACAAGCTCAACGATGCACGTGCCTGAATGGATACTAACGATTCCACTGTGCCTAATTGTGAGTACCTCCTCGGGGTGCTCTTCGACGAGTGAGGGTGCTCTGATCAACACTACTGTAGCTGTCAGGACCACGGCCCAAATAGAGAGGGATGATACGTAACGAAGTACGGATATACTAAAGATGACGATCATTTACATTTAAGGGAATTCAACGAAGCGACCGACTCACCTTTTTGATACCGACATAGGGTAAATGGCCAAATATGCACAGGCCACAATACAGAATTTACGGAACACTTCTGGATCTATTCCTTGTAAATAATACCCAGTGATAGAAGGAATGAAGTCTCCGAGGAATACAAGATAGCTCACGCAGGTCATCACGCAGTAAACGAAGGCCCAAAGCTCGAAGAAGGCAAGTCGAGGAGAGACCCCCAAAGGGGATATCTGAATAAGGGTCAACACATATCCTAGGCTAGATACCAACTCACAGAGTAATAGGGAGCATTCCCCTCAGCCTGCTGCCCTACTGCTGCTAGTAAATCCGCCTTCTTGAAGCCAAGACGGACCAATGCCCAATCGACGACAGCACCATAGGTGTGTAGACCGGTCTTAGTGACAGCAGTAAAGAGGATCAGATTGCTGGTAACAGCAATGCATGCACAAATGACGAAGCATAGGATACCAACCAAGAGCCCACTGCCTAGCATGGCATAGGGTAGGGATAGTGCACCAGCCCCCAAAGCAGCTACTACCAACAACAGAGTAGTGGATAGGAAGGAACCTGAAGTAAGGGGAGGAAA